GGTTACCCTATAGGTAGGATGGTTACCCCTATAGGTAGGATGGTTACTCCATAGGTAGGATGGTTACCCCTATAGGTAGGATGGTTACTCTGTAGGTAGAGTGGTTACTCTCAAGAGACAAGGGGCGAGTCCTTACTGCTGAAGACATGTGCTTCAGAAACGGGGCCCAGAGAGAGACCCCTGAGCTGGAACTGACCAGAACGACCCAAGGACTAGCTTCCATGGTACCAGAAAGCCTCATGCAGGCATCCAAAGGAAGGAAGGACCCAACAGTTCTACCCAGCTCCAGTGCCCGTGAACCACATTAATGACAGTGTGACACAGTGACCCTGTGGCTGGTAACCCACAGCTAACCAGACTGAAGACACACACAACAAGAGGGAGGCCGTGGCTGGCACCAGAAACCAGGCAACGCCCACTCAGCTGGGGAAGCCGTGGTTATTGGAGGAGAGTCCACCACCACTGATCTGCTGTACAGCCGTAAGCCCAACAGTCCACAAACACCTGTTCTTACATCCTCGCTCCTCATCAGTCAAACTTCTCTTTGCGACAGAAACCACGCTAGAAAAACACAACCAGTTAACATGAGGAGCTGCGGAACCCAGGCCCAACAGATACATCCACAAAACACTCTTTCCCCTGAGGCTCAGGGAGCATTGCAGAAGAGGGGCCAGAAAGACTGTAAGAGTCAGAGGACTATTCAGAAAGAAAGACAGGAAGGAAGGAAGACAGGAAGGAAGGAAGCCAGGAAGAAAGAAAGAAAGAAAGAAAGACAGAGACACAGAGCCGGGTGATGGCACACGCCTGTAATCCCAGCACTCAGGGAGGTAGAGGCAGTGGATCTCTGAGTTGGAGGCCAGCCTGGTCTACAAAGCAAGTCCAGAACAGCCAGAACTACACAGAGAAACTCTGACTTGAAAAGAAAAGAAAAGAAAACAAAAACCTCTACCACAAAGGCCAGTTTAAGGTTTTGAACAAGATGCATACACGTTTGTAAGTCCCAGAAGTCTTAGTTTCCTCCCAGTTCACATCCCTGCCCCTCAGGGTTTTCCCCATGTCTCCCCGGTTCTGTTTGGGCAGAAAGCACCAACGAGCGTGAGTGTGGGCCCTGAGACACCCCCATGCCTTCAAGCATGTCCGGGGTCTGTAGGTTGTTGGTCTTCAGGTGACTCCTAGCTGTCACAGGATTCAGAACCCGTGGCCCAGGGGCTCGTTCCATGTGGTCAGCCACGGGGTCACTGTTCTTATGGCTCTGTCAGTCCATTTACCTGGAGCGCTTCCGTGAACACCATCGCTGTGACTCAGCTACAGGATGGCAGTTTCCGGTCAGGGCTGCTGAGAACAGTGCTGCTAATCCAGCCCTCCCTACCGTCCTGTGAGGGTCACTGCTCCTTCACAGGCCCTCACAAACACTGCCACACAGATGACCCGGAAAGCCTTGGGTGGGTTTTGAACCCCAGGCTGACTCTGTAGCCCATGCTCTAAGCCACCATGGGGCTGCCCAGCAGGGGCCTGCGGAGCTCTTGCCTGGGTAGTGGGTGCTTCGCAGAGCGTTGTTGTCCTTGCTCATCCGGTCCATGATGGCTTTCCAGTTGTTGTTGACCTGGTCAAACAGGGCTGACTCGCTGGGCAGCTGCTTGCGGATGTCTTCTCCAATGAAGATGTTCTGAGGGGCCATAGGGTCGGGATGAGAGGTGCCTCTCCCTTCCCGCACGCTCCCCCTGCGTGCTCCCAGGTCAGCGGTGAGCAGAAGCCGGTGAGCACCAGCAAGGGGCCCGAGGTCCGGAGGGAGAGCTGGAACTGGGAGTCCGGGATAGGGCCCCTGAGGGAAACAGAACCTGGAGGAGCGAAGGCTTGCCTGGGTGGGAGAAGAGGCAGAGGTGGGGAGGACCCAGGCCAGTTTCGAGGCTCCAGGCATAGCGAAGCGCTCAAGCAGAGCGAGGGGGGCCCCGGCGCATGGACTCTGACCTCCAGGTACATCCACTGGCGCTGCACCGTGAGGACCATCTCAATGACCTCCAGAATGAGGGAGAGGCAGCGCTCCCAGTGGTCCACATCCTTCTCAAAGGCCTTCACGAACCGAGAGGCCTTCATGGTCGACAGAGCCACCTGGTTGTCCTCCAGGGCCTGGAACACTTCTTCCGTCCCCCTGGGGCCAGAGGCTCGACGTCACTGCCCCTTTGCCAGGGCCGTAGCCCCTCCCTCTGCAGCTGGGGTCCCCAGCGCCGCCTCCCAGGAGCCCGCCCTACCTGAGGCGGTGGTGGCCCTTGTCTTTGTAGGGCACTATGTCTAGCCGAGTCACATCCCAGGTTTTGGCGATGTTCTGTAACCCCTGTGAAGGGAGATTGGGGGGACGGAGCAATCGGGCGCGCGGTCCGCAGAGGTTGAGAGGGGCTCGGGAGGGGCCCTTGACGTCGGCAGGCTGCGGGTGTGGGCGTTGGCGTACCAGCTCTATGGCCAGCTCTTTGGTGGCGGAGGCAGAGATCTCCGAGATCTTCTCCACGTGCTGGTCCATGCCCATCTTCACGATCTCCTCCAAGGTGAAGCTCTCCGACTCCTGGTTGAACTCCCTCTGGACCTCTTCTTTGACCTGGTCCCAGTGCCTGCCGCCCAGGGCAGGGAGTGTGTCACCTCAAGGCGGGCTCGGGGCTGCACCGCAGGGGTCACGGTCAGCCCTGGGCTTGCCAGTGGGACTAAGTCTCCTGCTTAGCGTGTGCCATGCTCGGCCCTCCACACCTAGCACGGCTTTAAAAAAATCCCTCCTCTCGCCTCTTCCCATTGGAACAAGACCATTCCGGCCAGAAGGTGCAGTCTTAGCACCGCGGGGACAGAGGAGGACGTGGCGCTCTCCCGGAGCCAACTCTCTGGAGAGGGAGCTAAGGCAGGCGGTCTGTGACGGTCACATGCGGGGCTGAGAGGGCTCCCGAGGTTCTGTGACTCGGGAGCACTCCATGCTGGGAGGTGCTGCTCTCTCCTCTACACGTGAGCGTCACGGGACCTCCACAGCTCACAAATCCAGGCGCTGGGTTAGACTGACACTGTAACCCCAGGGGTAAGGCATGGCCAAACCGGGACAGCAGAGACATGCCGAGCCAAAGTGGGCTTCTCCTGAACGCGCTCTGACTTAGACGGTTAACGCTGTCCCCACCTGCTTGTCATCCTCTGCCATCCAATGAACTCCTGGAAACGGGATCGGAAGACTCAAAGTGTCTGGGGCTTTGAAACAGGGAGCCCTTCCTCTTTCTCAGGATCCCTCTATTTATGCGCATCAGTGCTCTGCCGGCATGGGGGTCTCTGTGAGGGTGCCGCACCCCCTGGACCTAGAGTTACAGACTGTCCTGAGCCGCCACATGGGTGCCGGGATCAGAAGCAGAAGACAGCTGCAGCCCGGACACGTGAGCCCCACGCTGACCGCAGCCAAGGTGCGCTGGCCTCAGCCTAGGTGCCCGCCAACCGCTGAGCCTTTAAAAGGGCAGGATTTGGCGACCCGGGTCTTTCATCCCCGCAGAGGCAGCAGATGGCTGTGAGTTCAAGGGCCACCTTGGGCTACACGGCCACCTGTAGGTCACCCTGGGCCACACAGTAAGACCTTGTCTCTAAAAGGAGGAGGAGGAGGGAGAGACGCCGCCATCTTCAGCAGCGTAGATGTGTTAGGTGACACAGGTGAGCACAGGAGAGCGAGTCCCCGGAACCTTCCTGAGACACACAGTGGAAACAGTCCCTCTCACAGAGCGGGGTGGACAAGGGGCGTCCAGGGGTTGTGGCGGACAGTCGGCGGGGATGGCCGAAGCCTGTGGAGTTGCAGCTAGACAGAGGGCGCGCAAGCTCAAGAGCTCCCCTCTCCCTGCTGGAGCTGTGCACACTGCGCCTGTGGCCGCTGCAGCGGGAACAGGCTGTGTGTGCGAGAACCACTCTCAGAGTTCATCTGCCTCTGCCTCTTGGGTGCCGGGATTGAACTGTACAGAGCTGTGACCGCAGCCAGTTCTGAACGGCCAGGTAGGTGCTGGGAATTGAACCTGGGCCCTCTCGCAAGGACGAGCGCTAACTGATAAACCGCCTCTCCAGCCCCTGACCAGTTCTCATGTTTATAACTGTTCCTGAACAGAAAGGGGTCGGTGGGAGCTGGGTTGTACCACCCCAGCCTGCGTGGAAGCAGCTGTGCCTAGACCCCAGCACGCACTACTAGGCTGCCGATGGCGAGCGTGCCTGTAACCCCACGGGGGGGGGCCTCCACTCACTCACACACACACACTCACACACACACACACTCACTCACACACACACACTCACACACACTCACTCACACACACACACTCACTCACACACACACACTCACTCACACACACACACACACTCACACACACACACTCACTCACACACACACTCACACAGTCACACACACACACTCACTCACACACACTCACACACACACACTCACTCACACACACACACTCACTCACACACACACACTCACATAGTCACAGGCACCTCTCCTCACACTCACACCAAAGCAAATCTCAAATGTTCTCACCGCAGAGGTAAAGGGACAGGCGTGGGACAGGCGTGTGAGGCGACACACGTGCTAACACCTCGGAGCGGCTCTCGCACGGTGTGGCATCCTTCAGCACATCATGCCAAATGTGACAAATATGTGCCCTTTGGTTGCGGTTGGAAAACAGGATTTGGAGCCATGAGATAGGTGTGTGGGGAAAGGTGTGTGTGGCTGCAAAGTGTGGCAATCCGGCTCGGCTCTCAGGGCCCACGGAGAGGGGCCAACGCCCACAAGCTGCCCTGTGACCTCCACCCTGGAGCTGTGGTGCGCGCACACACATAGTAAGTGTAATTTACAAGTTTTGGATCAGTTTGGGCCCGAGTTATGGCTGAACAGTCTGGAGCCAGCGCTCACGAGCCCTGGGCTCACTCCCTAGAAGTGAAACAACCTCGGGGCCAGGAGACCGGCTGGTGAAAGTGGCTGCTGTGAACCGAGGCCCAGGGTTCGGATCCCTGCGGAGAACAAGCCGCGCGGCCCGGCAGGTGCCCGTAATCCCAGCCCTTAGGAGCCGGGCTGGAAGCTCGCGGGGGCGCGCCGGCTGGCTAGGCTGGCTGCAGTTGGGGGGCTCGGGGTTCAGCCCTGCACCTCATTAAACTAGGTGGAGAGCGAGAAAAACGTCCGGTGTCAACCTCTACATGTGATGCACACGCGGGAAGGCGAGCGCGCGCGCGCGCGCACACACACACACGCGCACACACACACACACACACGCACACACACACACACGCGCGCGCGCGCAAGGATAGGAAGTAGAGGGGCGGGGCGGGGCCGCACCTCTCTCGCAGGGCGGGGTTCCGCAGGTCGGAGATGAGCGGCATGGTCCTCTTGAACTGCTCTATCTTGGAGCGCGTGGTCTCAATAATGTCCCAGTTCCGGTCCTGGGCACAGCACGGGGCCGTCAGGGACCCGGCGCCCGCGCCCCGCCGGCCGCGCCCGGCCCCTCCCGGCGCCGACCTTGTACTCCTTGGCCAGCCTCGTGAGGCGGCGGTACAGCCCGTGGGCCATGTTCTCCATGGCCTCCGTCTGCAGGGTCAGGAAGCAGCCGGTCTTCCACTCGTTCCAGCTCTCCTCCCAGTCCCGCGTGATCTCCCACACCTGCTGCAGCGCCTCGAGCTCCTGTGGGCGCGGGAGGGCGGGCTCTCAGGCGTGGGGGCCCCGCCCCGCGGGCCCCGCCCTCCACAGCCACTCCGCCCCCCCCGCAGACACCCCGCCCTCACATGCCCCGCCCTCCCTCCGCAGGCCCCGCCCTCCCTCCGCAGGCCCCGCCCCCGCCAGGCTCCTTCCCGGTCCTTCCGGTCGGGATCAAGTCTTCCCTTCCACTCTCTTGCCCTAAGAGAAGCTACTCAACACTGAGTCCTGGCGAAATGCAAATTAAAACCTCAACGTGATACCACTTCACACCCACTATGGCTAGAACAAAAAAAAAAAAAACAAAACAAAACAACCTTGTAAAGAAATAGTGCTGGCAAGGAGACCAAGAAGAGAGAGGAGTTCTCAACCCATTTGCTAGTGGGAATGTAAAATGGCACCGCTGCTGTAGAAAATCGCTTGGCTGTGCCTCAAAAACTTAAATAGAGCCTTGCCATATGATCTGGCAACTTAATTGCTAGGCTCACACCCATGACAGTTAGGAACAGGTGTCCGAACACTTCGGCATGCTCGTAGAAACACTACTCACTACACCGCAAGGGAAGGAGTACCCTCACCCACCAGCGGGTGGGTGCAGTGTTAGGGAGCCGCAAAAAGGAATGGAATGTGACACAAGCCACCACATGCCTGCGCTGGGAACCACTATGTGATGCCAGCCGGGCAGCGGTAGCACCCTAATCCCGCCGCTACAGCATCGGGCGGCAGAGGCCGGCACATCTCTGTGAGTTGGAGGCCAGCCTGGTCTGCACAGTGAGTTCCAGGACAGCCAGGGCTACACAGAGAGAAACCCTATCTTGAAAAAACAAAACAAAACGAAAACCGCTATGGGAGTAAAATAAGTCCGAGACAAGGAGCCACATGATGCTTGGTTTCATCTGTAGGAAATATCCAGGACAGACAAATGTACACACAGACAGTAGGCTGGTAGTGAGGGAGAGGGATGGAGGCTGTCTGTTGAGAGGAACATGATTTCCTCTTGTTTTGCATGGGTTTTGGTTTTGTTTTGTTTTTTTCCAGTCAGGGTTTCTCTGTGTAGCCCTGGCTGTCCTGGACCTCACCATATAGACCAGGCTGGCCTTGAACTCAGAGATCCTCCTGCCTCTGCCTCAAAAGTCCTGGGACTAAAGGAGTGCACCACCCCAGCCTTGTTTTGTTTGTATTTTTATAATATCTCTTATCTAAAGACTCACTTTTATGTTATATGTACTGGCGTCTTGCCTGCATGTATGTCTATGTACTAGAAGAGGGGTTGGATCCCTGGAACTGGAGTTACAGACCATGTAACTCCATGTGAGTGCTGGGAATTGAACCCGAGCCCTCTGGAAGAGCAGCTGTGGTGGTTTGAGTAAGAACGGCCCTCAGCAGCCCATATATCCGAATGCTCAGTCACCGGGAATCACAGCCTCACGAGGGAATAGGAGGCGGGAGTGAGGTGTTGCTGTGGCGGGCCTGAGCACGCCTCTGTTTGGAGGGATGTGAAGAGTCTGAGGCCCTAGATGAGAGGCGGTTGGATGCTTCAAGTGGGGCTTAGTGAGCATCTTAGCAGAAGCACGGAAGATGGCTGCTGGGCGATGTGGAACCCAGCTCAAGAGGTTTCAGAGAAGAGTGTCAGTCACTGGGCACCCAGATCATTCATGTGATGTTTTAGCACAGAATGTGTCTGCTGTCTGCCCTTCTCCAGAGAAATCTGCCCAAGGGAAATGAAGTTTTGGGAATCGGGTGTTGGCAGAGGAGGTTTCCAGACATCCTAGTGTTGGCTCCCTGTGGTTCTTGGTGTCACTCATATGCAGCTCTCTAACGGAAGGACCGGCTGAGCAAGGACAGACACAACAGGTCTTAAGGAGAGAAGGTGTGCCAGGATGGGTGACGGTGCTCAAAGAGATAAAGAGTTTAAAGAAGAGCATGATGCTAAACGGAAAAAATAGGAGCCCACCCAGCTACCCAGCTAAGCTTCCGACTCGTGGGAAGGAGCTAAAGTCTTAAGCTCAGAAGTAAACCACTAATGACAGAAAGCAGATGAAAGAGGGGGCCATGTTCCAGCCCGGCAAGCAGCAGACCTTGGAAGACTCGGCCACACCGCTCTGGCTTTAGAGTCAAGGACACCAGGAAGAGGTTGTGGACGCTCCCTCTGTGGCCTAGGAAAGCCACTGAGGCCAGGCACTTGTCAGGGTGCCCCTGTGTGGAGGCCGTGAAGGTGAGGCCTGGATTGCCTTGGAGGCCCCAGGACGCTAGAGATGCTGGACACATGCCTGCCGAGAAGAGGCTAAGAGGGAGGGGATCAGCAAGATGGGGACCAGCCCACGGGAGAGAAGTGTGCTGCAGTCAGCAGAGATGGTAACCAGCCCTCGGTTTGACATCAGGCACGGAGACACAGCTTGGAGTTTGGCCAGCGCGTTTTCAGGCTGGTCTGGCCCAGTGTTTCCTCACCATCTCCCTTTGCTCCCTTTTGGAATGGTGATGTATATTCTGTGTCATTGTATGTTGGGAGTATATGATCCACTTTTTGATTTTGATTTTATTGGGGGTTACAGATAAGAGACTACCATGAAAGCTGGGTGCGGTGGCACACACCTTTAAGCACAGCACTCGGGTGGCAGAGGCAGGCGGATCTCTGCGAGTTCAAGGCCAGCCTGGTCTACAGAGTGAGTTCCAGGACAGCCAGGGCTACACAGAGAAACCCTGTCTCATAAAGAGAGAGAGAGAGAGGACAGAGAGAGTGCCATGCGCCTCAAAGGAGAGCCTCAAAGGAGACTCTAAACTTTGGACTTTCAAACAGGGTTTAGACTATGGCCACTTTTGGAGTTGTAATGCATTCTTGCATTCTGATATGTCCACAAACCCACGGAGGCCTGGGAGTGGAGCGCAGTGGTTTGAATAAGAATGGTCACTGCGGGCTCATATATTTGAATGCTTGCTTGGCCACCAGGGAGTGGCACTCCATGAGAAGGATTAGGAGGCGTGGCCTTGTTGGAGGAAGTGTGTCATTGGGGATGGGCTCTGACGTTTACAAACCCTGGTGGGCCTGGTGGTTTTCGCCCTGCTGCCAGCGGACCCGGATGTAGAACCTTCAGCTATTTCTCCAGCCTGGGCCTGCCTGCGTGCTGCTGTGCTCCCCAGACTATAAAACTGCAAGCAAGCTGCCAACTAAAAGCTTCGTCTTATAAGAGTTGCCCTGGTCATGGCGTCTCTTCAGAGCCACCAAGCACTGACTAAGAGGGCAGCCAATGCTCTTAGCCACCCAGGCCATCTCCAGACCCTAGAACAGCTTTGCATTTTATTTGGTGTATGTGTGGGGGGGGTGTTTATGTGACACAGGAGGCCAGGAGGACAAGTACATGCTGCCCTGCACACATGGAGGCCTCACCACAGCTATGTGAAGTCTGTTCTTGGGCCTTCCAACTTTACATTTAGGCCTGGGCGGCAGGCACTGGCCCTGCTGAGCCACCTTGGCCTTTGGAAATGTCACTGAATTGTCCACTTAAAACGGCTGGTCTAGTGTGTGAATTTTACCTCAGTTTAAAAAAACAGAACAAAACAACACAAAGCTGCTAAGTACCTCTTCAGTCCCATCCTAACCTCGTCCAGGCCCTCAGACGCACATCCTGTCCCTGCGGCCCCAGCTCGGTACCTTCTCCAGGTTCTGGAGGTCCTTGGAGAATGGCTGCTCAATCTTGAAGATGCCCAGGTTGGCCCGCAGGCTGTTCTCCTCTTCCCTCATGGCCATCAGCATGGCGCGCATCTGCGCAATCTGTTCCAGCGCCGCTGTGTGGCCCACGCTGCTGGTAAAAGGCCCTACAGAGAGTCCCGTGTGGTTCAGACCCCACTCCAGTCCACGGCCCCGTGAGAGGCCAGCCTGTGGCCGTCTCTGTCTGTCTCTGTCTATCTGCCTCTTGTGTGGCCCTGGCTGTCCTGAACTCTCTTTGTAGACCAGGCTGGCCTCGAACTCACAGCAGTCCTCTCGATCACAGGCGGGTGCCACTGCACCCGGCTGCCTGCGCCGCCCAACTTAGTGGGCAAAGCCCACTGCTGCCCTCACATGAGAGGAAGGGAGGCAGAAGGGGCGCTCTGGAGAGAAGAGCTTGCATCGAGAAAGACCCCCAGACAGGAGGGCAGAGTCTGATGGGTGGGGGATGGGAAGCGGTGTGAGAAGGCTGAGGAGCACTGGCCCACCCCCCTCATGAGCTCCTCCCACTCCACACCTCCTCCCACTCCACACCTCCTCCCACTCCAC